ATGATAATGATGATGATAATAATGGTAATGATAATAAATGAATAACAATGAATATTATATGATAATGATAATAATAAACCTAATGATAATGGTAATAACGATGATGATTATAATGATAGAAATAATTGATAATAATGATAGTACTTATGAAAATGATAATGACAATGATGATAATAATAATAAGAATTATTATATTTATCGTTATGATAAAATAAAATCGATAGAAACAGTAATTATGATGATTATGACGATGTAAACAATTATAGTGACAATGATTTCATTATCACTACTTTATAATGATGAGGATGTTAATAATAACAATAACATTAATAATAACAATGATAATAACAGTAATAGTTAAAATGATAACAATGACAATAATAATATCAATAATAATAAAAAATATAATGATAATGTTTTTGATAATAATGATAATGATGATGATAAATGATAATGATATTACTTGATAATGATAATAATAGTCATGATGGAAATAGTTATAATGATAATACTAATTATAACAACAATGATAATAACAATGATATATATGATGGTGATAATAATGAATATAATAATTATGAAAACATTTATAATAATAATAATAATAATAATAATAATAATAATAATAATAATAATTATAATAATAATAATAATAATAATAATAATAATAATAATAATAATAATAATAATAATAATAATAATAATGATGATGATAGCAATAATAATAATGATTATTATATTGACAGTGACTATGATAATATCTATGATAATAGCAATAATGATAATAATAATAATGATCTTAGAAAAAATAGTATAAATGAAAATGATAATGATAATTTGAATAAAGAGCAATAATTGTTGTGAAATAATGACATTGCAAATTATGATAATGACAATGCAATAATAACAATAACAATAACAATAACAATAATGATAGCGATGAAGATAATAATTGTAATAATAATACTATTGATGATGATAATGATAATAATAATGATGATGATGATAATAATAATAATAATGATGATAATAATGAAAATAATAATAATAATAATAATAATAATAATAATAATAATAATAATAATAATGATAATAATAATAATAATAATAATAATAATAATAACAATAATAATAATAGTTATTATTATTATTATTATAATAATTACAATAATAAATGTAATATTAATAATAGCAACAATAATGGTGATAATGATATTAATAATAATGATAGTAGTAGAAAAAGTAATAACAATAACAATACTGATAACCATAATAATAATAACAATGAAAATGATAATGATAATGATAATAATAATAATAATAATAATAATAATAATAATAATAATAATAATAATAATAATAATAATAACAATAATAATAATAATAATAATAATAACAATAATAATAATAATAATAATAATAATGATAATAATAATAATAATAATAATAATAATAATGATAATAATAATAATAATAATAATAATAATAATAATAATAACAATAATAATAATAATAATAATAATAATAATAATAATAATAATAATAATAATAATAATGATAATAATAATAATAATAATAATAATAATAATAATAATAATAATAACATTGATATCGATAGTATTAATAAAGACAATGATGATGATGCTACTGATGATAATGATAATCGTATCAATAATAGAAATGAAGGTAAATCTACTATTACCAATAAATAGAAAACAAAAAATAAAAAAATAAAAAACACTTAAAACCTGATCTGATCCCATCACAGCCTCAATATATTCTCTTGACTCCCAATATTCCTCAACGAGAGAAGTGATATCGTTTAATAGTAAGACTTCGAGTGCAGCAATTAGTGATATAAACGTGGTATCATTTCTCCTGCTCGAGGCATTAGCAAGGTCATCATTCGGGGGCATTTAACAACCTCTGGCATCGACGTCAGATAAAAGAGAAAGAGAGAGAGAGTGAGAAAGAGAGGAAGGAAGAGACAGGAACTGGAGAAAAACAAAAGCGACTGAGATCAAAAGAAATTTGCGCGTGTTAAAGAGTTTCTGAAAGGCAAAATGTAAGAGAGAGAGAAGTATGTCATGGGCGAAGAGGAAGAGAGGAAGAGAGAAAGGGTAGACAGATAGATAGAGAACGATAACTAGAGAATATATATTACATATTATTATCCTTATTATAACTTTTATTATTACAATTATTAGAATGCATTGAGAGATAGGCAGTGAGGCAATTTCACAAACAGATATTTTGGCACATTAATGAAACAAATTTTAACGAAAGTCGATAAAGGGTCAAAGCTTATCATTTTCTTTTTTCTTTTTTTTTCTTTTTTTTATGTAACCGAGTCGAACTTGACTGCGTTTTATAACATGTTTCTAATCTGTCGACCTTTCAAGAACTGTTGCCCAATTTCTGTTAAAAACTGCAGAATAGACGAAAAGAGTTTATTAAAGGAAAGATATTCCGTTTCAGCTTACCTCTAAGCGCCAATCAT